GTATCAGAATTCAATAAGCGGACGAACAAAGAGAAAGAAAACGAACCGGACAAATTTTTTGATAACTAAACGATAAAAAGAAAGATATCGATTCGATAAAAGTTTTATCGATCAATTCATTCCAATATCTAAATAGAGAGAATAAAGCGAGGTATAAACGAAATTGTCTCAAAAGATTTCTCTAAATAAACGATGGCACAGATTTTCGTGCGCTTAATTCTATTGTTTCCGTAAAAATGGGAGAGAAAGGGAAAAGATAATTTATCCGAAAAATTGGAGGCATCGAAACGACTGTAATATCTTGGGTGTCGAGGGATGATGCACGGCTGAGGAGCCACCGTGACGTGAAAGCGATTATTTACAGCCAATCAGAGGGAGAAATCTATCTGACGGACAGACGCATAAACGCTCGCAGATCACATCGAATGACACAAGGGATAATCGAACTGACGAAGCACGATTGATAGAACGACGCGTGACGTTTAACGCTTTGGCCAAATGGAAAGCCCATGTATCCTGGATATTTCTTTCGATTAATGTGATTCCTTCTTCTTCCTACGTTCTTCTTTGCTACGTCTGTCGGACGGATTTATATCTATGACAGAAAAGTGTAAATAGAGAGAAAGTTTGTTACCGTCGTGATACGTTCAATATGAAAAATCGAAAAGGATTCTCGGTGATTGATATTGATTTTTTTCTTTTTGATAAGTAAAAGAAACGTATATTATAAAACGAAATGCAACGAAATGGAACACTCTTTTTCATTTTTTCGAAAAAAAAAAATTCGTGATGCGTGTCAATTGTCGAATTAGAATTCTCGTGCTCACGTCACTCGTATTCAATGTGTATTTTAGATTTCAAATATTTTTATAACAACAATTTTTTGGAAAATTTGATAACCGTAATTTAATTTAAATTTGAATTTTCAAACTATTTCATTGAAAATATTGCGAAACGCTCTTCGACGGTAAAAAAAAAACATTGTATCGATTTCACTCGTGACAATTAACGCGTACTTCATAGATATTGTGTCTGTGTTATTTGCATAGTTTGGTTTCCCATAGAGACGATCGTTATGCAAATGCGTTGCTTCATCGCGCAATATATTGAAGACGTATCGGCATTATGGTAACCTGTCTCGAAAAAATGTTACGTATCCTATATAGTACATGGTAACTGGATATATTCGACTTAATAAGGCAATAATAGATTGGATTATCTCATGATCGCTCTTATAATACACCTTTCTCCGTAATTAATCCTTGAAATCCGATTCGAGAGGTTCGTCGATTCCACGAAACTGCGCCATATGAATTTCTCTCTATACGCGTACTACCTGCTAATAGCACATGGATATAATCGGCCATAAGTATAATCACATCATAATCATATCAAACGGAAGGATATGACGTATACTTATGTACATCCATGCTCGAAAATCGTAGAGTATTTGAATGCGTTAATAGATATATAAAACAAACATTTAAAATATTGAAATTCTAATAGTGATTCCTTGAACATTTTTTTAAAATACAACTCTTTGTGTGTAAATACTATAATTTTTTAAAAGATTTAATACCAGTAATCGAGTGTTGCGCGTAACAGAGTAGAATAATTTATAAGAAATAATCTTTTACTCGTAATGTTTATACAACAATTACTTCAAATTGTATGTATATATATATGTGTGTGTGTGTGTATTCGTCTTATCGTCGAAACAATATAGACATAATAGCATAATAAGCAGAATCGTGATTAACGAACGAAGACGAACGACACTATTTTGTTACGAGATCGTAATCGAGCGGAATGCCCACATTGTTCTCCGCCGATATGCCGATAAAATCGTTAGAGGCTCGCGTGACGATCCCCTAGTGACACCTTATTATTCCTATTTATTAGAACGAAACCCCGATTCGAGCGTGTTTCGTTGGCAACAATCATCCTCGCTTCCATATCTATAAACTGAATAATACTCTCGAGCACAGATCGACCATTGTGCGCCATCTTGCGTGCACAACAACGCTATCTGGCGGTTTAGTACATGTAAATCGACCAGACTGGGCGAGAGAGCCACGTTAAAAAATCTCGCGTGACACGCGGGTGTATTCGATAAAAATCTAAGATTAATTTCGAAAATTTTAGATTATATATACGATATCAGTCGACATCTTTACACGGAAATAAAGCGGAACAAATACGACGTGCTCTCGCGTTTTCGCTTTATCGGTGCACAAATGAGCTTCACCGGCAGCTCTCTGCGTGTACTGCGTTTCCGAGTACACACGACGGGATGCGTTAATATCGTTAATTAAAACCGCTAACTCCCGCCTCGTTATTTGCGTGTCAACGATGATAACCGGGATAGGTGCAACGCGAGAAGTGCAACAAAAATTGAGATGGCAAGCTTGGCAAATTTTTCAACGTATTGCGATCGTTCCGGCGAATCTGGCTGGTATAATTATATTTTTCAACGTTATCGAGGAGGTTGTTTTAACATTTCATAAAGCGGTTTTATAGAGTACGTGCAAAGAGAGAGAGAGAGAGAGAGAGAGAGAGAGAGAGAGAGAGAGAGAGAGT